TTGGTATTCCAAAAAAATTGACAACTGAGGCGCATCACATTAAAGAGATGTTGAATCAATATGTTGCTTCTTCTGGACAACGGATTAATTTGACCAAATCTGTCATTTATTTTAGTCCTAAAATAATTACAGAGCATCGGGCTTTAATTTTGAATATATTCGGTATACAGGAAGTGGATTCTCTTGGCCATTATCTAGGACTCCCACTATATATTGGCAAGAATAAGACGCAGACATTTGGGTATCTAAGAGATAAAGTGCCATCAAGGGTAACAGGGTGGACAAAGAGGCTATCATCTTATGGAGGACGGAAAGTTTTCCTCAAGGCGGTAGCTCAGGCATTACGTACCCCAATATGCCATTTCCTGTTATTTACTTCTAGAGAATCTACTACATGAAATTACTTGTATTATGCGTCGATATTGGTGGACAGGGAAAATCTCTGAAAAAGGATGGCCATTAGTTGCTTGGAAGACCATTTGTCAGCCAAAGGCCGTTGGGTGGGTTGGGGGGGGGGGGGGGGGGGTTCCAGGACCTTCGCTCTTTCAATTTGGAAATGTCAGGTAAACAAGTGTGGCGACTTATTAAGGAGCCTGATTCACTATTTGGCTGGGTTTTTCGGGCTAAATATTATTCCGATGGTGACATGCTTAATACGAAGCCTGGTAATAGGAGCTCCTATGCTTGGAAGGGCTTTTATAAGACCAGCCAAGCCCTTTTCTGGAGGGTGTGATGCAAAAGCCCATCACGGGTGTTGCTTGATCATTGGGGGGGGGGGGTACATTGATGGCTCGTCTCTTGTAGGTACCTATGACACTGCCCAACATGGAGAGGTGCACTATGGTGATTTCATGCAAAAGAACCGACCTCGGTGGGACTATACAAAGGTGCGCAACTTTTTCACTTATATGGATGTTGATTTAGTGTTTTTAGGTACTAATAGCATCGTGCTTCGACGATTGCTTGGTTTAGGGGAACCATGATTCAGGAGTTTATTCTATCTTTTTTCCTACTGGTGGCTTCAAAAACCAACACATACATTGGAGGTGCCTACCAAACTCTGGAAGACGATGGCGAAATTGAAAGTACTCCCTAAGGTTCGTATTTTTTCCTACTGATTAGCACAGGGGGCGGTAACGGTGGGAGATCGAGACTATTCTGCATGTTGTTCATGATTGTGGCTTCACAAAGAACGTCGTGTAGCTTGCTGATACTTCAAGTTCGTTTCTTACTTCGACTTATACATCTCCTTTATTATGGTTGGAATCTGCATGTGCTACGCTTGGTATAGATGATTTTTGCAGGTTTTTGGTGCTCCTCTAGAATATATGGAACGAAAGAAATTATTTGGTTCATAATGGCCGTTTGCAACCCCCTTGGATTCTTGTTGCAAATGCTAGAGCACTTTATCAAGACTTTCTTGAGGCTCAGTGTGTGTCACATTCCACTCTGACCCCTGCGCGACTGGATACATGGCGACCTCCGCCAAGGAATGTCGTCAACTTGAATGCTGATGGTGCTTATAATTCTGCTTCCAGGATGGTTGCTGTGGGTGTCATTGCAAGAGATGCCAATGGTGCGGTTCTTGGAGGGCTGGCTACCTCGTATTTGGGTATATTTGAGTCTACTTTAGCTGAATTACGTGGTCTTGATGCAGCAATACATATAGCTTTAGAGGAGGACTGGCCGGATATTATCATAGAACTTAATTCATCCTTGATAGTCTGTTCAACAATACGGTAGGAGATTATCCTACCATGAGTGTTCATATGCGGACCATACGTGATCAATGCTCTAGATTTAATGGTTGTTTAGTTTGTTTTGTTCGCAGGGAGGTGAATTGAGTGGCGCATGGTTCAGATAAGCACGCACTTGATTATAACCTTACTTTGTTTTTCGGTTTGGATTATCCCGAATTTATGGCACATGATGTAAAGAACGATTTGTTACTGTCTTAATTAATGGATCATGGGGCACTCTTTTACCATTATAAGACCCACAACCTTGCGTTGGTAGAAGAGGTTTTTAATGAGGCCATTATTTTTAAAAAAAAAAAAAAGTTAGAAAAAAACAAACATGAGAACTTGAATTATCTCCTACCCTTATAAAAATATGTGGATCTCATAAGGTTACAGATCAAGTCATCGAGTCATTTAACTGAATTCAACACTCTAAAATTATATATAATTTCTTTCTTTTAAGTTTTGGATCAAAAGGGAAAAAAATCTCATTCAAGATTCACAATCGATTTCCATCAAGAAACCTAAAGGAAGGCTAAATCTTTATGAAGATCTATTTGAAAACCTTTTTTTCTTTTTTCATCGGTTTCTTCTCATCTGAATGTGTTTAAAAAAAACAAAAAAAAAATAGAAATCGATCGGAAAAAAGAAGACTAAAAGCAAAATCAAAAACAATTACCTTCAAACATAAATTCTTTTTATTTGTTTGTATCTTTCCAAATCACAACACTTATAGTGGCTATACTTTTCTTTTTCTCCTCCTTAATGAGATAGAGAAGGCCTATTAATAAAATTAAATCAATCCTATCAATAAATTCCATATATAGGAGATTACATGAGATATAGAAAGAAATCAAAGAAGAATATTCTAATTAGTGTTAAACCCATTAATTGCATACCATTTGAATTAAATTGACTCGACAAAAATATGTGTCTACAATTACCCCTCTTTATGCATTATCGTGTAATGAAAAAGACACAAATTTTTGTTTGATATTAAATTCAAACTTCTAAGATCAAAGTAATCTTGTCTTTAAAGATGAAATCCGAATACAATCTTGTTTCCTTAGGTCCCGTTTGGTTCACGGTATATTTATTTCCTGGGAGGAATGTTGTTTTTCCGGATGAATATACCCATGTTTGGATAGACTATATTACCAAGTGCCAGGAAAAAATTAATACCAACAGGAATTTTTTTTACTTCATTCCCGGGAATGTTTATCCCTCCTCTCCCTTAGGTATTTACTCATTCCCGTCCCCGTTGTCTAAAATAGCCTTCTCCCCTCCCCTTCGTTCTGCTGAAATTTTCTTCTTCTTCGATTTAGTTTAGATATTTGCTTCTGGCGTTCATATTTCAGTTTTTTTTTTCGACATATTTCTTGGTTATGAAAGAACCCAGAGTGGTGCACCGCTTATTCTTCACTTCTGGGCTTCTTGGTGTGAGGCTTCAAAGCAAATGGACAAAGTCTTTTCCCATCTCTCCATTGATTTTCCCAACGCTCACTACCATAGGGTTCCTCTTCTATTCCCTTTTTAAGCTTCATAATGCAGGGTTCCTTGCCCAAAAGCGCCTGACTAATGGGCTTAGGCACAAGTTATACTGAAGCCGTTGCTCTCATTGCCACTCAGGTGATTCCTACACTCTGCGATTTTGTGTATAATGTATATATATGGCAATGTCAATTTGTTATCCAGACTTGGGATAAGTGTTGGATACTGGTATATATTTGATTCCTAATTTGTTATCCGAACTTGGGATGGGTGTTGGATACAGGTATTAGTATATGTTTGATAAGGGTATGTTCAAACCAAGTGTTTTCTTATATATGAAATATCATGCCCTCATACTCATGTTCGGGTATGTGTTTGACATAGATGTCGGACACAAGTTCTTCAGGAAAACTGAAGAGTCTAGATATACTAGGAATGATTGAAATTTGTGGATATTGTATGCTGATTATGCGAGTTTTTCCAACCTGATGATTTATTGCCCGATTCTGTTGAGTTTTTTCCATGAACGGGTCTATTTGTGTATTTTTTTTTAATTATGTGTGTTTTTATGCAATTGGTATTCTCATGCTTCAGGATATCCAATTTCATTGTTTCTTAGTAGCTATGTTATTTAAACACAGATGTGAGTGTCAAGTTATGATTTTTTTGCAACATGTGTACGTTCAATTTGTTCTAATATTTTCTTGTATTTTAGGATCTTTGGAGGATCATATTCTATACACATCCAGATAAGTGTCTGATATATTTCCCAAATACATATACTTCAAGAAAAAATGAAGAGCCAAAGCCATACATCTTCGTAAAGCGGAGTAGATAATTTAGGATTTTGTTCGAAATTGTTCATAAATAGAGTTATTGGTTTTCAGAGCTAAGTCAATCACATGCCTGTAATTTGCTGTGTACCAGTTTTCCCTTTTTGATTTTTTCTTAAAGAAGTTTAAGGAAAATCCGAAGTTCACATCCCTTTTGATATGTTTTTTCCACCATAGATTCTCGAGTTTGTTCGTGATGGTGACAAGAGTGTGGCTGAATTGATGGACGTTGGCAAACAACTTTTGGGAAGGTATGCAACCAGTTTGCTTGGATTCTTCATTTCTCTTGAACTATTGGTGTCCAATACTACTATCTGATACATTCTGAGACATGGATATGGAGATGCAATCCTAAAAATGACATTTCAAATACATGGAAAAAACTAGAAAGACTTAAATATACATGTGTGGGACACATACCCGAATCCAACACTCGCTTCGATATCTGAGTAACATAAGCATCGACAATGTTTTGCTTTGAACACATGATATATATATATTATTTTGTAGAAACGAATAGTAATTTCAATTGATGTATAAACAGGAGGCAGGTTTTTTCATCGGTGCCATATTTATTGGATTCTATTCAGGTAACTATGCTTTAAATAATCATAAATGGAATTGATTTTTCCTTTTGCAATTCTCATGTTTTATATCCTAAGTGTTATGTTTTTTTAATCTTCATTTTTGTGGAAGTAATCAGGTCCCAAACATTGTTGTGGAGATCTGACCTCTAAGGATCATTCAAATACTTGTAAAGACTTTAAAAAAACTAATCCTGTCATGTCAGTGCAGGATAAGGGTATATATTCGACACGGATATGGTTAGACTTTTCCTGAAAATTTTCATATATTTGGAGGTCATATCCTCATTCATGTGTTGGACATGAGTGTTGTTATGGACACATTAAGAAACATAAAGAATTGGAGCAATACATGCCTGAAGAGCCATTGTTCCAGATTTTTCTTGGCTCATATTGTGAACTCTTTTTTTCTGTCAAAATCAACAATGCAGATTTAGTATATTATGCAGATTAGTTAGAACTTGGAACTGGTCCAGCTTGTGAATATGAAGTATCCCAGTGGGAACTAAAAAAATATTGATAATGCAGTGCCTTCTAATGAGGAACCCGAAATGGATGATAAAACTGTTCCCGATGAAGTGATCCCAAAAGGTGGGACGATTACACTTAATTCCGGGAGGAGAGCAGTAAGCCTCAGAGTCACTAACAGTGGAGATAGGCCGGTTCAGGTGTTGCAAACTCTCTTTTTTATTCATATTTTTTTCTTGTTTAGAGTTTGATCAATTCCACACCAGTTTCAGTTCAGTCTATATTAGGATTTGAGTGCAAGTGTTAGATAGGGATAATGGTTAGGTTTTTATATTAATAGGATGTAAGCGTGTGTTAGGTCTTGATATGATTAGATTTTTCTAAGTTTTTCTAGAGAATCCCTGGAGGTCATATCTCCGTATCCATATGTTGAAAATGAGCATTTCAAGACGAATGTTGGGTGCCAACAGCATAGCTTTCGGTACCACTATATCTATGTGTACGTAGCTATGTAACTTGGACACGTGTGTGAGTGTTGGATACGAGTATGTGCATGTTCATATTTTTTCCAAGAGTTTTTCGTTTATTTTGTCTTCATATCCATATCCGAAAATGTGTCTGACATGTGTTGGACACGGTCTTAGTAACATAGGTACAGAGAATTGACCTACAATATAACTAACCAATAAACTTCGGTTAATTTTTTCCAAGGAAGAATTGAAAGATCTCTGTGCTAACCCTTTAACATTTTTTTCAGGTAGGAAACCATTATCACTTTATCGAGGTAAACCCTGACTTGAATTTCGATCGAAGTAAAGCATTAGGCATGCGGCTAAATATACCAGCGGGAACAGCTTAAAGATTTGAGGTCGAGCGAGCATTTTAACCTTCATCTGTTGATAAGCTTGTTGTTTGATCATTGATTAAGTCAATTAACGGTTATTCATTGATCATGTTGTGGGTGTTGGTTATGTATATGTGTCGACACAGGTACGTTCAGTATTTACTATGTTTTTCCATATATTTAGAGCTAGTGACCATTGAATATATATATTCACACTGAAGTTGATTTAATCCATGAATGTATATGTTTGAATACTAGTTGCTAAGTCAATCCAATTACTTGATAAATAAGGTTGGCCATTTGATTGTTTCTGTCAGGATGGTATGATTTTTGATAAATTGGAGGGTGCAGATCCTTCCAGTCTCGCCAAAAAAGTTGCCAAGGTTACTGGGCTTATTAACCCTGGAGAAGCTGCTGCTCCTGCTAGTCTTGGGATGGCTGCCGGCCCCACCGTCCTTGAGACGGTCCAAGATTTGGCAAAGGTAAATGGTTCATCCCAGACAGGAAATCAAGTGCAAACTGGTCTCGACGACAAACTTAAAAAACGCTTACATCCTTTTCTTTTCCTTGATTTCATTTTTTTTCTCGAGTGATGATTGCAGAGTTGAAGAAGTCGTTGCACGTTGTGTTCTCACAATTCGGAAAGATACTGGATGTGTTAGCATTGAAGACGCTGAAACACAAAGGTCAAGATTGGGTTATTTTCGAGGATGTTAGCTCCGCTACCAATGCTCTTAGGCGAATGCAGGGCTTTCCCTTTTATGACAAGGAGATGGTATATGTATTTTTGCAATTGGTTTCTTGTTTCTGTCATTGATGGAGACTGCAACAAGTTTCCAAGCTCCGCTTTTAATATGTCAAAATTGTTTTTCCTTGTTTCTGTCTATGAATTATTATTAAATTCTCTATGTTTTAACATTTGTTGCGATACTAATCAGGTTAAGTATGAATCAAATGACTAAATTTAGTATATAAAGAGATTGTATTAATTGTACTTTTTTTCAGTTACACAAGCAGCAAATATAATGCAATTGTCACTATCAAACAATAACACAACTGGTTGTGAAGCTAGACCCTAGGTTGGATCAATCTCAAACGAACTATAATCCAAGAGATTAGCATATCATTAATGCTTAATTCTACTCGGCTATACTCTCTCCAATTCAGTATTATGTTTAACCAGTTGGTCACTCAAATCCTTTCTCCATCCTTGGATCAGTCTCTCCTGATTCTTGATGATCTCGGACTTCATTTTCAATTCTTCTTCCACTGTTGCAATCTCCTGTTAGAACAAGAAACAAGTTAAATTGAGCTTCTTTGGAGTGGCTTAATCATACACCGCAATCATCTACAATAAAAGTTGTTGGGTTTACTTTTCTGAGCATTTCAGCTTTGGTTGGTTGATCCTCACGTTGCAAGCCAAGGAAGTATAACTGAAACTTCTTGGCAGCCTCCATGAAATCTCTAGCATGCCTCTCCACATCAACTATGGCAATTGCAAATAAAAACACCATTTTAGAACACAAGGATTTGATCCAAAAAGCTTATATTAACTAAATTTATCTGAACTTTTCTGGGTACTACGTTAGTAAGTTAATGCATTCATTCAAGTACATCTATCTGATTCTGAACAATGATAAAATATGGAACCAAACATCAGAATAAGAACAAGTATCAAAAGACTATCACAGAAGGAACATGACAGATCATCTATATATATATATATATAAATGGAAATGCTTTGGGAATTAAGGAGAGGGTGAGAGCTACTGACTCTGATGAGAAGGGTGGGGAGAACGGTCAATAGCTTGAAGCTCCTTGGAGGGCAAGCATGACAACAAAGTCGTCTCCAACGCAACCACAATGTAAACATTAATATATTTTTACCATAAATTATGTAAAATTTAATATTAATTAAAATTAAAATAATACATGATATATTTAAATACTCAAATAATATATTATCAACAGATAAAATTTTTATATAAATAATTTTTATTTAAATATTTAGAATTTTACTTGTTAAAAATATAGAACAAGGACAATTTGGTAAAATATACATTCCATTAATCTTTTATATTCCTTCAACCAAACACGGTAATCTTACATTCCTGCCAAACCAACCAAACACAGTAATATAATATTCTCAGTAATCCTATTCCCTGGTAATCTTTTATTCTCACTGGTAATCTTACATTCCGTGAACCAAACGCACCCTTAATGTCAAGACACGCTCATTTATTTGTCCATAATCATCAAGTCTGAAAATGATATTGCTCCCTTAAAATAGTGATGCCAAATCGTCATCAATGGTTGACTTGTTCCTTTATCTGAAGGATTCCAAACTGGAAAACAATATTGCTCATTTCTCTTAAGGACGCCAAGTTGGGAAATGATCTTGATCCTTTTTATGAAAGAAGTCAAGTATGGATCAATAGTTGATCTGCTCCTTTCTCTAAAATAAGTCAAATTGGAAAATGATCTTTCTCCTTTCTCTAAAGGATCAATGTTTGGTCTGCTCCTTCTTTTGAAGGACGTCAAATTGAGGAACGTTCTTGCTCTTTTCTGTGAAAGACGCCAAGTCGTAAACAATGGTTGATCTTCTCCTTTCTCTGAAGGATGCCAAGTCATAATCAATGGTTGATCTGCTCATTTCTTTGAAAGATGCCAAATTGGGGAATTATCTTGCTCCTTTCTTTGAAGGAGATCAAGTCATAATCAGTGGTTGGTCTGCTCATTTCTCTGAAGAACACCAAATCAGGGAACGATCTTGCTCCTTCCTCTAAAGGATGCCAAGTCGTGATCAATGAAAATTCAATTTTAGAGATCCAACATCCATAGGATATGATTTCGAATGTCTTATATGCAATGTGTCTTAAGGATGTTCTAATGTAATTTTGTTATGGCATGCATGTATGCAGAATACAATTATGCACATGTCTTAATCTTGGGAGATTAATCTTCTTTTTCAAAATGTCTCAATCTCAACAAATGCAATTTCACTGTCAAGTTTGACAATCGTAATATTTCAATGCTTTCATGGTGAAGACTTTTCTTTATCACACATCGTATTTGGTTAATCCTTTTTCTATTTGGATCAAGGGAGTTAGCCTTCTCATCCTGCCTCTTGAGAGTCAAATTCTCTCAAGAAATCAATCTATGAAGGTCTATGTGTGATTCAAACACTTTCTTTTCTGGAGAAGACAAAGTTGAGTTACAATTGTTTCTCCTTAATAAAAAATCTTATTATCTAATCACTTTGAGCTATCAAAGAGGCTTGCTTCCTGGTAAACACATGTCTTGGATCCTCTATTTTTATTTTTCCCCTATTAAATATGATTTCATCCATCTTCGAGGTTCAACTTTTGGTCCTCTTCTCGAGATCTTTCCATCACAAATCTTCTGCTTTTATTTAAAGATAAGAAAAAAATGTGCATATTTTTATAAAAGCGTGGATGCAATTTTCTTGTACTTATTCTATGAAAATGGTGTAGAAGTGTCAATTATCATTCTTCTTCAATCTTAAAAGAGAGGACTATCATTCAAGAATTTTCCCTAGTGTCAGCATTATAGCATGTCAATTTAAGCTTTTATCTTATCATCTTGTATGTGATCATGTATTCTTCTTATTATTGTGCCATTGTTTCAAATGAAATGTTTTCTTTTTGGACGAACACCAACCTTGAATTCTCACCACAATCGAGTATAAGGTCTCGATGTCTCTTCTATTTTCAAGCCCAATTGCTTTATCAGAATACTTATTTTGAGTATTTTTTGTCAATTTGAATGTATTTTCCTCGTATCATTTTTCAAGGGTGCCAAGATCAAATCACGTCATTAGGAGTACCGTCATACGTCTTTTTTTCTCCCTCTTTAGTTTGATGGTAAATGGTTTCTCTTTGATGTAGGCACTAGCTTTGGCTTATTGTAAAGTTGGTTTGAACCCCATTGGTCATTCTTAAGTTATGCTCTTTGAGGAAAACATTATGTCAGAAAGATTTGTGAGAAGTCTTCTTGTCCTTGATCTAAAATCAAAAGATATTTTCATTGTTTCTACCTCGCTTCTTCTTTTTGCTTTGGCCTTTTACTCATTGCCCTACTTTATGTCCAAATTTTAAGGCAGAGTGGGTCATGACCATTTCAAACACATCTTATCTCCTTGAAATTGTCCTGTTTGAAAATGTTTTTTTCATTCTTTTATTTTGCAAAAGAAATTTTGTACAACGAAAATGGTGCCCCTTGCTTCAGGCTCACAATTGAAATAAATCATCAGTTCATTGAATAATAAATAAATCAATTACTTTTCAATTTTTTTAAAAATTATATCCCTTTGATAAGTGTCAAGATCAATGGGTTAGGCTTTGGGTTGACTTCACCTAAAATTTTCTAGGGTTTCACGTCCACCAAGATGTTTTTCATTTCTCGGTCTTTGATATCATTGTGACATGCCCCTCTATTTTGGTCAGGATTTTCAATCGGATGCGGACAAAATGACAGAACTAGTATATTCAATTGTAAAACATTTTAAAGAGTGTTTCTATTTCGGTTCTTTGAAATCTTCCATTTGTTCAAGTTTCATAAACTTCTTTAGTAGAGGTAGTGCAAAAATATTTCCTATGATTTTACTTTCTTCACTGTTCTCTCGATCATTTTTTGTACACATAACGATGTTGGAGAAGCTTTTGGCAACATTTCTTAACATGTGATCAAAGTAAGAGGACTTTAATATGTCAATAAACATGGTGATGATTTCTCTTTCACTTAGCGATGGACGAACTTGAGTTCCAATGTCTCTCCACCTTTGTGCATACTAGCAGAAACTCTCGTTATTCTTCATCTCCATGTTTTAAAGTGTGACTCAGTCAGGCCTCATGTCAGAAACATGTTAATATTACTTTTTGAATGTCGCCACTAAATCTTTCCATGACCCTATCTTAGTACGAGTCAGTTGATTGTACCACCTTGTAGTTGCTCCAGATAAACATGCTTGAAAGCAATGAATTAGTAGTTTATCAACTTCCATGAAACCAATCATCCTACGACATAACATAGTAAGATGTGCGGTGGGACAAGTTTTGCCATCATACGTCTCAAATTATGGCATTTTGAATTTCAGAAGTTGAACCAAATTGAGTACTAGGCTAAGCTCTCTGGCATTCATATCATTATAAGGTCTTTGTCCCCTTAACCTTTTGAAAAAGTCTTTGCATCAGTCTTTCAAGTGCTTAGGTACTTCATTTCTTGCATTCTATAACTCATCCAGGTCTAGCACAATAAAATCTTCAAGATTATTTAGAGGATAGCTATAGCAACTTGCACCTTAGTGGCCAAGGAACCTCAAGGTAATTTTTCTAGAACAATGACTAGCTTTGGAGTGGATTGTACCACGACACACTCAGAATTTCCTGCCCCTGAGAATTTTGCAACACTCTGCTCAAATAGTTTTGCCACTATCTCATTAACCATATTAGTTTGGCCTTGCGCGATAGAGTCCAAAGTAGTCTTATGATTTTGAGTCATCATCAAGAGTTCTTCCTCTAACTTAGTCAATCTTGATTCCATTTATTTTGTTTTTCTTCGAGTGTTATGAGGATGAATATTCATGTATGTCAATATCTCTTCTTTTGTTACACAACCTTCTATACATTTTTTCTCGTTCTTTAAAACATGAATGCATATTATTTTACACAAATACTAAAGATGAATATTATACAATGGGATATATAATGCAAAATTCAATGCAAAAAGGAATTGATCTCAAAGTAGTTTTCATAAAACAACTTTTAAAGAACACAAAATGCCTTAATACATCGAGGTAGATAGAGACATCAAAAGACTTCCTAATTTGTTTGAGCAATGCACAACTTCATTGCTTCATCTTCTTTTCTTATGAATTCCACATGTTAGACCACC